CTTGATTTTTCAACCTTGTGTGCGTGTGTAATGCATATAGATGTGTTCAGACTCTGTTCAGTGTCTTAAATGAAAGTTATTTCAGGGTTTTGTTCATCCTTAACACTGGTAAACAGTATGATTAAAGGCTCAAGCTAGTGAACAACGTGAGAAGCCATGCTCACCCACTTTCCAGAGTGGTAGTGAGGCTTATCTGACTCCTTCAACTCTAGTTCTCAGTCTTCCTTGCAGAAAAATACCCAGACTGGGTGATGCATGAGATTTTAACCAGGTGTGGTCTATAAACAAATGCTGTGTTTCTGAACTTCAGAATCTAGGTATCGGGGTATCACATGCCATTTGCTATTGTCTGAGCCTTTGAAGATTTCTAGTGGTTTCTGTGCTGTTGGACCCAGCGCGTGAGAAGCCTTTGCTCTGTAACACAGCTCCGCTGTCTGCACCTGAAACTGGAAGGTTGGAACGGACCTAGAAAGCCAGAGATCTCAGTTTTAAATACGATGTACATACAGGCCATGGATGCTGATGTATACACAGGCCCTCAACACCTTAAAAGCCTTTTAAGCCTTTTGGGTTTTGTTTCTCTGTATTGGGAGTATTGATTTCCACCCTACCTTTCTTTCTGTAGCTAACAAGAGTGCAGATTAAGTATTTGTGTTTTCTGCAGACCTTTTGTTCTTGCTTTAGAATTGGACTTTATTTCGCTTTGCTATACATTTTCTGCCACACAGTATTTTGATGCATGCTGTAGTCTTAGTGATCAGGTGAGGGTTCAAAGTCGTATTAATATTGTAAAGGAAAAGCATATCCATGAAGTTCCAGGTTGTTTTAGCTGTAGCACCTCTCTACAGTAATTGCAGAAACTCTGTATTAAGATCTATTTCAGCCTATTTCAGTTGGAAAGGAAAATACCCTCTGCGGTGCACAGCCTGTTTGGCCTGCCCGCGTTTTTATTATTCATGATGATTGTAGTGCCTAATCAAAAATTATTTGGCTTTTTTGCCTGGTACTTATTTGATAGAGAATTACGATTAATCTAGGTGTGGAATCCATAGGTTGTTAGCATTGCTTTCACAAAATATCCATATTCTACCCTGTCCAGTAATGGAAACTGTAGTAATCAGTGGGATTCTAATGAGCAAAATAAGTTCTTCTAATTATCTCATAAACCTGCTTTTATGACTGGAAGTACAAAAAATTACTGCTTGAAAGTAGTGTTATCTTAGACCACTGAAAAATTGAAGGGACTTTAATTCCATACATCAGGTTGCACATATATCCCAAGAGTAAGGTTCTTCATAGGTAGCAAGTGATGCAAATTATGCTCAGTGTAGGAAAAGAAAACATAATACTTCTGCCTGTCCTTGACTGTTTGAAGTAAATAGCTTGCATCTTGCCTCATTTACATGGAGGCAATTTGAAGTATATCTTAAAATCAACATAATGAAAGTGAAATTTAAATTCTCCACAAGGATTTCTGCAGTTAGAAGTGTCAACAATATGGGCAAATTGTTACTGGGTTGTATAGTATCGAGCATTTCTAATGGAGCAACAATATCAGAAGTAACACCAAGATATGCCTGTTCCTACTCATCTGCTTTAATTAAGTCACACTCATAACATATACACTGAGGAAAAATGTTGTAGGTACATGTGCATGCTATTATGATAAAATAATAATGAGTATTATTGATAATGAGTACTTGATATGCCAACAGTCCAGGACTACTTAAGTAATACCAGCCTTAAAAATATGTAAGCAAACCCTTTCAGAAGTGACTAATGATTTTAAATTGGCTCAAACTGTGAAAAGCAGCCCCTTTGAAAGTATCTCAAAACTGCTAGGTCACTGTACTTGAAAATTGTCCCTCTTTTGAAATTCTCACCAGTCATGAAAACTAGACATTTCCAGTGATTTCTAGAATGGTTATGGGATTGTCATGGAAAATGAGGTGAATAATATTTCTACTTGTGAGGGAAGATTGTCATGGACATCTGACCTGGTTGCAGATCTCACATATGCTTTGAATCGCCAAAATTGTATTAAAATTGCATTCTGTAGCTTATACTGCATCAATAATATAATGAACTATAAAACCTTGTCTGATTTTTTATTTACTCTAGTTTTATAGTAAAAACTTTGAGCAAACCTTCTCAGGGGTCTCTATTTCTAAAAAGGCACAAGGAATGAGTTTTGACTGCCTGAGACTCTGCATTATGCTGAAGGTGTTGGCGAGAGGAAGAAGACTGTATTACGTGGGAGACTGAATTTATGAGAACATTTTCCTTAGTGAGAAAAAGGAACCTACTGTCAGTAATATTGATCAAGCTGATATTCACTAGGCAACATGTCCCAGGCAAATTTTATATGGAAAATGCTGGATGTCAGAAATGTGATGTTACTATGGAAATGATTTATTATCAGCTAAAGGGAATTTTAATGGAGTCAAGAAACTGGCAATCTAATTTAAGGCACATTTCAGGTTTTGTAGTAAAGTCTTGAGAGAATATAGCTGCTAAATGTGATCTGTGCCTATATGCCTAGCATCATGCCTCAAGCTTATGAAGGGATGCTGATTTGCTGCTTCACTTTCCTCGTTGACGGAGAACGAACTTAGTCAGGATTCAGCTCATTCAAACACCATTTACAAGAATTAACTGCTGGAATGATTTTTTAGGGGTTTTTTTTACTAATTTTGAGCCTTTTGAGTGTTTTGATTCTGCTTACAGTTGTACTCATCCTCTTCTGTACAGCACTATGTCTTTCGCAATGGAGGCCTGGTCTCCTAGCTTCAGCCTTGCTCAAAGCCCTCATTGCCCAATGCTCAATCCCCAGCCATCCTGCTTCTGAAAATAGTGATTCTGGTTAACTAGTGTTCTGTATATTGCCAAATTGCTTGTTTTACTAAACAATGAAACCTGTCTTTTCCTCTGACATTAAAATCTGTTCCCTAAAATAATAGTCAGGAGTCTATCTCTGCACTCTGGACTAAAATTAATAGTGAAAAGGGCAAAAAGTATTCTGTTACGAGCTTTTTACATGCTGGCAAAGGACTATGATTCTTGCACAGAATCAGCTCACTGAGGCCTCTGGATGCTGCTGTAATATTAGACATAAAACAGTAAAGTATTTGTGGCTTTGGGCATTACTGTAAGGATACAGTGTCAGGATACAGCCCTTCATTTCCACAGCCATGTCCTGAAGTCACTTACGCCAGAGAGGATATTTTAGGCAAGCGTGAGCAAGTGACAGTTTTCCTAGGACGAAAGGACTTGCAGTTATAAGGCGTCTTTGATCATCTGTGTCGTAAAAGGGATGCTGCTTTGCCCTGTGTACCCTCACCAAGTGTTTACAGTTCTGCTGACAGGGCATCTCAAGTATTTTCACTGTATTTAGTATCTCGTAATATTCTGAACTGTATGTAATATTTAATTTTTAAATATATATGATAACAAGGAATTGATGAACCTAATTCAGGGGACAGTTTCTTCTCTTTCTATGTAAAGATTTAATTATTATCTTTTTTTAGGTATGCATTACCTTTTCATTAAGAATTTAAGATTTCTTGTGGTTCTCTTACTGTCCTTGGTAAGAAGGCCACACTGCTAATAGTCTCAAACTTTGTTTTTATGTGTGTTGGTCCTTGTCCAATAATCTTGATCATGCCCCAGGTATTTCACATTTATACTACTGTATTGGGTTCTACTACCAAAAAGTCTTTTCATTGGCCTTCCTTTTTACTCCATGCTATTAACAGTGTAGAAAAATGTTTAAAATTATGTTTAGACCTTGTAAATAGCATGATTGTTATTTTTTATGGACTTTTGCATAGTGTTTTTATACTTGCTGGAACTTCAAAGTGTTTATATTTGATTTGTATATGTATTTGTTTATTTCCTTTTATAGGATGATGTAGATTTTTTTCCCCACTATTATTTAGAAGTTGTTATAATCATGAGATCTTGATTATCCAAGTTGTAGGTTAACTATTTCTTGTTATTTCCAGCCATTCCCAGGCTGCCGCAAAACCCGCAGCCACACTAGAAAGCATCTGCATTTGATGTGTTGTGAATTACAGTATGTTTTCATAAAGCACCGCTTTGCTTGCTAATGCTTAGTCCCTTTTGCTCTTCAAAGAAATGTGTTTCCAGGTTTTTGAGATGTAAATATTCCTGTAAATTGTACCCTAATCTTCCTACATTTTGGAATAACTGTTTTCATTTTATACAAACTGGTATTCTCCATTGTGTTTTGTATTCTTAACAGGTGAGCAGTAACTATATTCTAGTGCACTGGTTTACAATGTTAAATACCTCATCTTGTATAATTTTGTTTCATGTGAAAAGTGCCTCATAATCATTAAATAGATGAATTATGAGTGGTTTGACCTGTATTCCAACACAATGTGAAATCCTAAATCCCCAATTCAAAAAGTTTCTGAAAACTCAGGGTTAGATCCATAAATGTACTGATGCAATATGGTTTTTATTATAAAAGTTAATACAAAATACTTATGATTGGTCAGCTTGGTGGGGCTGATCAACAGGCCTGGTTAGGTGGTATTTGGTTGTTTTTTATTCTTTCATCAGTAAGTAACTTCTGAAAGTAACGTCTTTGACATCAGTAAGTTTATCTTCCTGTACTTTGAGAGTGATAGTAGAGTACGTGTATCCATTATCCTTAATACAATTTCTAAGAATTATCCCATTCTACTAGTCACATGGAGGAACGCATGTAGTTGTGTTAACTGGGATTGTCTGCCTCGTTTAGCATTTATGTACTTACAGTTCAAAGCAAAAAAATCCCGTGGCTATGCTTCCAAAGTCAGACGCTGAGAAAATGAATACTCCAGAATACCCAATTCTCTGGGCTCTCACCTATTAAAGGATGGTTAGTCATCTAACTCACAGAAGGAATACTTTCTTTAGAAAATGTCAAGTGGAGTAAATAGTAGGGATGGTATTAGCAAAAGAATCTCATGTTGAATTCTTCTGCGTTACAGGAGTACAAACGCAAGCTAGCCAGAGTGTCCCAAGTACGGAAAGAACTCAGGTCACGCATCCAGAACCTGCCTGATCTCTCTCGACTTCCCAACGTCACGGGCAGCCATGTACACCTGCCGTTTGCAGGAGACATCTACGGTGATGACTGATTACAAGAACATCCTTCCATAACCTCTACTTTTCTGTGAAATGAGGGGTAGGTCAGACTGATTGGTATCTTGTAGTATTATTTTTGTATATTGTCAGAGAGTGTCGGTAAAAATACTCTAATAATTTATAAAAAATGGTTTAAAAAGTTGATTTGTTTACTATTTTATTGGCGAGTGAACATAAGGGTACATTTATAAAAGTGGCATCTGTGTCTATTACATTGAAGAATGGATAACTATCTTATCTTTTGTAAAGATTTCAGTTGGGTGCTCTGTAAAAAAACATGCTAGGATTTTTCTTATGATGTACCCTATATTTAATGTAGATCAACATATAATCAATGCATACTTCTAACTGAAGACATTTCAGTTGCTAGTGAGGGAGTGAAATGTGGAAATCACAAGCTTATGTTTGCAAGAAGGTTGATGCATGTTAATGCAAAGTTAAAAGCAATCTTACTGTCCATTACATTTAAATTACCCACTACCAAAACAAGTCAGGTGGGGTTTTTTGAAGAAAATGTTAACAACCAATTTTGTATTGGAAAGCATAAATCATGTTACACTGAGCAGATTTTTAAATGACTCAAAATACTGCAATATTTTAGTATCATTTAAAAGTCAGCATAAGAAACTGTACAATCGACCAGTTTAATTATGTTTCAAAATTGTAACTTTCTTTTTACAGCTGCTTAGTTTCTAAATTGAGGGACCATTCATTTGTACTCTAATCCCTTTCTGGAACATCCGTCTCCATCTAAAAAGGTTAATCCCGGAAATGTGAAGCCATTTTCCAGCTTTAATTAAATCGAAAGGTCATTCTCTAAACTGTCCCAATTGTTCAATGTCCATTATTAAAAATTGACAATGCTATGTACCATCCCTGCGTGCAGCAACACGGTGATACAGCCGTGCTGTAGATCGTCTTCCACTGCGAAACCCCAGAGGCCAGCACGGGCTTCCAGCCCCCCACCTCCACCCGCTCCAGCGACGCATTTCTAGCTCTTGATTGTCTTTTCTCACAGAACAGGAGGAGACAGTTCAGGGCTGTGCATAAGTTAAACTGTGGAAAATTATTGCCCAGTGTCTGTTTTTTAAAAAAGTCCTTTGCACGGCACAAACGTGGTATTTGGCTACAGGTAGCTGAATTTGTCATAACTCCTTGTTAGCATACTATGCACCAGCTTTTAAGTTCACTTGAAAACTTAAAGATACAGACAGCATCTAGGAGATTGCCAGAAAATTTAGGCTTTTCAGTCAATCAGAATTAGGCACCTAATTGTTCACGAGTGATTTTAAAAAATGCCTACCTGTACCTTTGCCATTTTGATGTACCTTAAAATCCTGGGCTGCAAGTGTTTGAGTTGGATATATCATCGGAGTATTTAATGATAGCATTTTGTTCACGGGTTTGCATTTGTTGGGCGTTGTTTTGCATCAGTTAAGTTCACAGTTTACAAG